TAGCCACTGATTTACACACCTTATTCACTACATGTGTGACGGCTCATCTTCAGCTGCTTGGCGCTCTGCCGCTTCCCTGCCTCGTCAGTGTTTATTCCTTTCACATTGAATGAAGACGTGTGACAACGTAAAAGTAAATACTTTCGCTGTGAGGGTAGCTGCGTGCACACTGCAACCAACTTCAATCGAGAGTCTACGCTGAACAATTGTCAGTATGTCCATAATGCTGTCAGAGTGCAGCTTACTCTGGCAAAAACGTTCTGTGAAAATATCCTCGAGCTTTTCGTGAAGCTGTACAGCTTACTTGAGGGATGAAGGAGGCCTCCTCGGTCACAAAAGTTAATCAGCCGAACAAGTTGAAAACAGCCTCGGCGTGGATAATGGATGAGGTATGCGCACTTTTTTTCCATCGATAATATGCACATGGTCCTTAAGCTAAACACACGGTTGCAAGTGAAGTTCGCAAACTGCGTTGGTGTCTTCCAGAAGCTTGTCCGCTCTGTGCTGGTTCTTCTCGCATTCCTTCGGCCTGTTTTCATCCTTCAGGACGCCAAACAATGACAGGTACTGCTTACTCTTCACGAACACGTTGCCTGTTAGACACCCAGGCGCCTAACAGTGGCTTTGCCGTTGTCACGGCTTGGTTACAATATGCACTGTAAAGCATACTGTCATCTTGCGTGGTGCGTAACGCTCAAAGCTGACGGCAAAAACTCGGCGCAACAATGTCCACAGCCACTCAACGTGGCTCAAACTCTGTTGCTCTGCAGGACTTAACCACAAAACACCTATACACTGCTTAACCACAGAAGACCTATACACTACCATACACTAACACTACTTAACCGGCTCAGCTGCAACGTCCCTCCCAAACTTCTTCCATTGATCGCGATGGCAGCGCTGTCGCTCGTGCAACCAGAAAACCACAAACGTGTGGCATTTCTGGAGCCACCCCTCTGCATACCCTCCGCTGGAGAGTGAGCCCACTGCCCCCTTCTAGTACACTGTAGTACTATCCATCATTCCCATGCTCGCTGAAGCACCGTGTGTTGCAGCTCCCACAGACACTAGCGCCAGAGTTCCCTCTAGTGTATATTAAGAAACTCTATGGCTGCTACGACACGGGGAAAATAGCTAAAACGCAATTATAGTGTAGTAGAATATGGGGTCGTGTGTTCAGGCACCTTCTCTCGACATGCATCGCGTGAAGCAGCGCACGTGGACAAAAAAACCGGTTCTCAAGGCGACGCTGCCGTAGCATAGGCTGGCAGGACCCGCTCTGCCTTCTCGGGTGCTGTTCAGTGACCTGTTGCTTGTGTTCGCACCCACTCAACGAAAGTTTTTCTGGCAATGTTTTTTGCTGGCCACACGACAATGAGGCAATGACGAGTCATCGGCGGCAATGACACTGCTTTGCACCTAAGTGCGAAACAAGGTATATCATTGGAAAAAAAGTGAGCAGCCGTCGCTTTTCGCTGCACCCAAAAACGAAGCACGGAGGAAGGTTCGGGAACAGAATTTGCATTGAAAGGATGGGACCGTGAACGAAAGCTGCTCTGTATGTGAGCTACACTTCGAGCCTTGATGTGACCTCGCAGACTAAGTGCACGTTATAAACGGAAGCTGGCGTACTACGTAGGAGACCAGAGCTAATGCCAGACGCCGTGCCGACGTTACTTCCCAACGCTCCAAGCTGCTTATCGGAGAAAGCGCCGCATCCAAGACCTACGAGAAAACGGAAGAACTGGGCGGTTGATTCTACCATCTCCAAGAAAACTGACGCATTCTGTGTTAAGGGTGAGGCCACTGATTCAGGTTCATCGATGGACCTTCCTGCTGACTACGAACCCAAGGTGGCGAACACTACAGAGACTGCAGCTTTGCTGGAACGCTTACTCAAGCTTTGTTTACCTTCAATTTATATGTGCTTGATCGCACCGCATCTAGTGTTAAAGAGAGCGGTAATGTACGTGCTGTCACGGCTTCATTTTTTTCGTGAAGGGTATCAACCAGTCTCGAGAAGCTAAATGAAAAAAAAAAAAAACTGCACGCGAAAATCAGTCGGTGTTCATAAAAGTGCCACCGTGATGAAGTGATCACGAACTGATAATTCCATGGAATGGCGGTGAATTCGATTGGTGTTACTATTCACTGCATTATGCGTTCTCGTAAATAAAGGGTTTCTTCTTACAATCTGACAGTGGTACCAAGTGATGTTTCCTTTTGACTGTACAGTGCAATATCCCGGCCACAGCAGTGCTATTTCGGCGGGCGCGTAAACGATTAAGGACCCAAGATTGACAAAACTATTCCCAGGTCTACAGCTACGGCATGCCTCAATCAAATCGCAGTTTTGTCACCTTAGTCACATAATTACAATTGCATGATGCAACTATCGACAAGAACGGTGCCGCGCGAGTAACGAAGGAAGTCGCAGTGTGCAGAATACGACTCGATATAGCAGTAACATAACAAGAAACTTTCGGGTCTATGATGCCCCTTCGATACCTCAATCTTCCTGATTTTTCATTCGCTCACCAACCGAGCTTTAAAAACTGCACGCTGTTTCCCCAGGGATGACTGCTTGGCCGTCGTTTGTTAGACCTGCATTCGGACCGTGCGTTGCAGCTTTAGCGTTTCGTTTTGAATGCAGTACGAGCACACCGATTCAGCAAGCCTTTCGCAGACGTGTCAGCGATTAAACACAAGACTATTAAGCGCGACGTGTGCATGTCACGGGATCGAATCCCGGCTGCGGCGTCTACATTTCGGCGCGAATACTGAGGTGCGTGTACCTATAGATTTAGGTTAAAGCACCCCAGGTGGTCGAATTTGTGGAGCACTCCTCTACAGCGTCTCTCATAATCATATAGTGGTTTTGGGACGTTAAATCCTTGCTATTACTGATATCAAAGCAAAGAAGTGCGTAAAGGGCAATGCGTGAGGTGACAGCTCACGCTTAGGTGGCCTCATCTCGCGGCTGTCGATGCCAACTGCGGCAGCCACGGCTCTTTCCTGAACACACTACCCCATATTGTAATACGCTATACTCTATTTTCACTCAACTTGGCTTGGATCCGTACAAAGGTATGTCTTTCCACGGAGGAAGGGGTGGACGGCCGAGCTAGCTCCAACCTCCACGTTCATCAAGCAAGCACATGAAGCAGGATGAACGTGGAGGTTAGAACTAGCGCAGCCGTCCACCGCGCCGCAGGCTCGTCTGAGTGTGTGCATCATAAATTTATTAAGTATGAAGTGCGGATTATCGTTGTTGGACGTACTGCATTTTCTAGATTGCAATGCAAGCGTGCTGTTGTCAAAGTGTCCTTGCTGCCGGGTTTTCCTTGCCGTAAAGGGCAAGGTCGACGATGAAATAAATGCTTTTGCACAGTTCTTGTGTGACCGACCGGACACATACATGCATGAAACCACAGTGCGTCTGCGAAGTGTTCTTACGGTGCATCTTGCTAGGAAGCGCAGCCACTATTACAAAGAACACACACCGCTAGCGCTTAACTTCAACTAAACGTTTATTGCAAACGCCAGAGCTTATAAAGGGGGTGAAAAGAGAAAAAGAATAGAAAATGGTAGACAACAAAAAGCACACGTGCCAGTCCCGTACATAGTAATGTTGTTGTCTGCCATTTTTTATTCTTTTTCTCTTTTCAGCCTCTTTATAAACTCGGACGTTTGCAATAAACGTTTATTTGAAGTTAAGCGCTTGTGTTGTGTGTTCTTTGTAATAGTGGCTGCGCGTCCTAGCAAGATGGATCCTTACCAACTGGCCCGATACAATTGTTTATCGAGTTACATTTTCTTACGATGGATGGATACAACTTTAGTGTAGTGTTCTTAAGAAGCCTGTGATCTCCGAAGGCCAAAGCTACTGCATTACCGTCTGTTTTGTTTAGTGCGAACACGTATGACCGTTCCCGTCCGTTAAATGCTTTCGTGCTATCACTGGCCATGCGTGTTATTCAGCAAGGTAGACAAGCTGTTTTGTAGTTAGATGGGCTAACGCCGTCGGCACTTCACCTTGGGCATCGTTTATCAACTGCTGATAGCCTAGACCATTGCGGCGGCACGTTAGTATTTTGAAGCGGCCTGCCGGTTACCTCGCCAGGTGATGGTACACTGAGCGACATAAAGTTTCTTCTACGTTGCAGTGCGCCTTAATGTCATCAAAACACAGATAAAACGTGGAAATCAACATTCCTGACGCGTGTGCCTGAGAAACCAATGCAGCCAGCTGCGTTTGAGTTTTTCGTGTCCTTTTGCGTCTCGCCGATTAAGAGCATTAATTCGCAAACCACTTTGTCATAACAAATAGTGCCAATCCTGCGAGAGTCATCAAACATTGAATATTAACGGGCCTGTGTACAGGAACACCACCAGCAGCAAGCCAGGCTGACGGGAGGCCGATGAGCTAGCGCAAATGTTTAAACAATGCATGCGCGAACAAAAAAAAAGTAACAAGGCTGCAATTGGGCTTGAACCACCGCACTCACCAGTGCTTGATATGCCGCTTTAACCAACTACGCCAGAACTGTGAATTTGTTGGATAGGATTAACAAGGCGGTTTTGTATTGCTGTCACGCTGGACCTAACTAACATTTTATTTTTTACTTTTGCATTTGGACGTAACTTTTACAGCTTCTATCGTTACGTCTAGACGTACAATTAAACACTCCGACTATTCAAAAAAAGCGCCTAGCCGGAAAAGTATGACGTCACTTCTGTGCGGCGCAGCCGCCGTTTTTGTGTAGGGGTGGCTTGTGCGCCGCGCGGCGCAGCAGTCTCTGCCTTTATTTATACATGCTGAAATAAAAATGTCAGCCGTGCTGAGCGCCCATGATAGAGAAAATGCACACTAACTTATCCGACCGCTAAAAGAGGCGTTAGTAGTTCCACTATACGCGCAATTGACGAAACTCGCCGCGGTCGATTTTTTCGCCCTCTACGGCTATCGCGGGAACTTGAGAGTTTCCGGCGCCTGGTTAAAGTATTCTAGCTCACTTTAGCCTGGTGGCTGCTGCACCGCGCGGCGCAGAAGACGCTGCCTTTTGGAAAAGGCTGAACGGTATCTGCACCACCTCCTCAAGTTTCTCCACTTGATCCGTCCTCGAACACGGAAGTTGCGAGAGCGGCATTACAACATCACGTCGATTGCGGGGACTGGGCGAGGGCGAAAGTTATGGCGCGCTTTCTCCAATCGGCGACGACCGGAGCCCCGCCCCTGCACGCCTCTCGGAAAGTTTTCCGGCGCCAGTTGTGCACTCGGCCGCAGAGAGAGCATGCCGCAACAGCGCGACAATCGAGTCCGTCACGCGGACGACGCCCTTGCGGCTGCGATGGAGCTGTGCTGCGTGCCGACGGGCTGTCACTCGGACGAACCGATGCTCGCAGACAGTGCGGTTAGGGTGATCTGCAACAACGAACACTGCCCGCAGAGTCAGCTGATGCACAGGGCCTGCTTCGAGGAGTGGGAGAACGCGGTGCTCTCCTTCCTTCGCTCCACGGGACGCGCGCGCTCGTGGAGCGAGAAGCAGCGGCTGCAAAACTTGTGGACCAAGAAAGGCTACGACTTGGCCTACAAGGCGTGCGGCTGCCGCTGCGGCAAGGGCCACCTGCGAAAGGACCTCGACTGGGTGCCGCCGGCGGCCGCCAAGAAGAAGCAGCGACGACGTAGGGGCAACGACAAGCCCAGCCTGAACAAACCACCGAGCAGCGTGCCGCGGCTACGCAGCTCGAGCATGTCAAGCACGGGCTCGGCCGGCAGCCCGCCCAGCTCGTCGTCGCCCGAGTTCCCGCCGTCGCCGACGCACAAGCTGTTTTCGCGCCGCCAGGACTACTCGTCCTTCAACGCGCTTCCGCGGCACAAGATCAACGCGTACCACATCAAGATGGAAGACGACGGCGACGACATCCGCTGCTTCATCCTCAACACGCTCGGCGCCAACAAAACGTCGCGCGTGGCTTGCGTCGTGTGCCAGGCGCCCATGTGCGTGTTCGACCGCTACCCGCTGGTAGACGGCACGCTCTTCCTGTCTCCTCGACAGCACAGCCCGGGCTCGGTGCCGGTGCGCGTGGACGACGAGAGGGCGCAGTACTTGAGCGCCGTGTGCATGCGCTGCCTCGAAGGCTGGCCGCTGGCGTGTGGCGCGTGCGGCGCTCGCTGGAGCGGCCGCCACCTCATCCTGGGCACCATGTACGCGTACGACATATTCGCCGCCACGCCGTGCTGCGAGGAGCGACTGCGCTGTAGCAGCTGCCGACGGCCGTTCGCCTCCTCGCGGAGCTACTTCAGCGACTACAGCCACTGCGTCGGCTGCGCCCACTGCGGCGCCAGGGACTACCACTTCGTCAAGCCGCTCAGCACGTACGTCAGGCTGTGAGTGTGACGACGGTACGTACTGGCGCATTTCCCATTTGTAAAATGTCATTTTCATTCAGCTCTTTGTACATGTTGCGACACAGAATAAAAGGGAATGTCTCTGGAGAGGCAATCGTGAATAAAGTTGTTTTTCTATGCGTGTGTGCCTCCTGTGTTATTAGAGAAACGAGACCCAAAAGTCCCCAGGGCAAGGAACGCTTTTCCCCGACCGTTTCACTGCCAAGGACAATCGATAGCGCGCGTCTGGCGGCCCACTTTTCAGGGTCGGCAGCCGACGGCGCTGGCACGACGATATTTGTGTTGCTCTGCAGCTTTCGCTGCGCGCTTCTAAATTTCTCGGCAGGGTAGTGCGTCTCTCTGCGGCACGAGCTACTTACCGAGCGTGAATAGTTTCGGGTAGCGCAAATATCGTAATACGTTTGTACGGTGTGTAATACTTCGTGTTAATTTTATTGCAGAGTGACCGAGGTTCATTACTTGTCTTGAAACTTGTAGACCTTTTTTTTTTTTTTTCGGAAGTTTCATTTGCAGTCTGCGTAAAAGCTGATGTTCACTCAACAACTAGATGCTCCGTGGCTAAATTTTGTTTGAAATTTTTGCTTGCTGCAGCAAACGAAATGCCGAGTGCCCGCGGATTTGTGTTCAAGCCTCATTTAGTATGGGTAGAGTGTACTAGAACAAGGGGAGTGCCCGGACCGGCCGCAGCACCAATGCATTAAAAGTGAGGCCCAAACGGGGTCAAATCCGCTAGTGGCGCTGCGATCGGTAGTCTGTGACCTGTCGTCGTTTTAAGAGCCGTGCGCAGCTCCGCCGAAGTGGTCGAGGGGTAGAATGCTCGCATCCCACTAAAAAGACCCAGGTTCGAATCACCGCTGTGACCATAGATTTTTTTTTTAATTTCACGTGTACAACTGTATTGTTTGGCTTTTTTTTTAAATATGCCTTCAGTTTCTACATATTGCTACAAAACATTACGCGAGATATGAAGTAAAGGAGAAAAAAACTTGACAGCAAGCGCATTTATTTGCAGCGCCACCGCACGGGATTCAACGAAAACTTAAAAGCATAGCTTGCGAGATTTTAGCGAATAAAAGAGAGACGGTGTGCTTTCACTCGCCTGCGGTCGCCGCCCACTGGCTCGCTTAAAAAAAGAAAAAGAAAAACTGAAAGTAAACGATTTTCAGTCGGCGGGAAGTCGCGAAGGTTTGAATACTGGTAAAGCAGCGATGTTCTGTCTGCTCGAGTAAAGCGATCACGAGGTGTGCGGAAAGAGGTGAACGTGTTGATATTTTGGATACATATGTAGTATTCCTGTACAACTGATATTGCGAACATATATCTTATAATTATGGCCGCCCTCAGCGAAAATAAATGATGCAAACCAATGCTTGTGTTTTGCGGGCGCATCTATATGTGATCGGCGCGCTTTTTGTTGTATTTAGCTTTTGCGTCATTGGCGCCTGCATCGTTTTCAACTCTCTCAGCGGCAGCTAAACGGCAAAACTAAAGCGCGCCGGTTGCCTGTGCTTTTGATGAAGTAGTATTGAAATACAAATGTACTTTTCTTGTACAACTATTTTTTGTCAACGTATACATTTTGTCTTTTGAAAGCATATTTAGTGGTGCACACTTTGTGCATACGGCCGATGGTCACTAGCGTTTATTGTAGGGATGGGGTGGCACGGAACAGTGCTTAAGACGCGTGACACAAGGTAAGAATGACAGATACGTCATGACCATTCCAGTAGTGTACCAACCAGGCCTGCCCATTACAGTTGTAAAGGAATCGGTTTTATGTCAATGGCACAGTGGTGATTGATGTGCACGAGGCTGCTGACCCGCAGATAAGGATCGCATCCCGATCTCGACAGTTGCATTTCGATGGCGTGGAAATGATAGAGGCCTGCGTTCTTAGATGTAGGCGCTAAGAACCACAGGTGGTCGTAATTGGGAGAGTGCTACACTGAATACGGCGAGCCTCACGCGGTATATAGTTTTATCACGCAAAACCATTGTCGTCGTCGTCGTTGTTGTTTTGTTTTGTTGAAAGTGCGTTGGTTCTATTCAGACGTGATGCCAAAAATGTAGACATGAAATGATCCGCGGTTGCATGGTAGCTACGGGAGTTTTCGCAGTCAGGCTTAAATGTGAGGTCTCCTAATCCTAAGTATAGCGTGCTATGCCGAAGGCAAGCAAGTGGTCGTGGTTTGTTTTGTCTTGTTAGTGACGTACATAAAAAACACGCTAGCACATAGTACAAAATCATTCGTTGAACGCGTATCCGCATAAGTTGTGTTCAACTGGCGAAGAAGTCATAGGTGTACAGCAAACAATGAATGAAATTTCTCTGTATTTGCGTTGAGATTTCGAAAGGAGACGACTTGCATACGCAATTGCACGGTCGTTGCCCCGCTGAGTTTGCGCCAAAACTGCACCAATGCCGTGACTACACGTGTCTGTGCGCGCTTCTGTAGGAGCATCGGGGTCGAAATGCGCAAGAATAGGGTTGTCGTGAGAGTGGTAATTAGTTGAGAGAAGGCGTCAGTTTGAAGAGGGCCCCAATGAAATGGGGCATCTTGTTTGAGAAGGTCGGTAAGTGGCCGTGCGAGTGCCGCAAAGTTTTCACGAACCGCCGAAAGTAGGAGCAGAGGCCCACGAAACTGAGAACATCATGGACAGAGCGGAATATTATAGAATGGTAGAAAGGCGTTCAAGGTGTGTGGCGAAGGTGGGTGAGAAGTTATCACGTCATCCAAGTAGCACAAGCACGTCGCCCATTTAAATCCTTGAAGTAGCGTATCTGTCATTCTCTCGAAGGTTGCCGGGGCATTGCAGAGGCCAAACGGCATGACCTTGAATTGGTAAATGCCGTCAGGGGGTAACGAATGCAGTTGTCTCACGATCCATTTCGTCTACAGCAATTTGCCAGTAGCCAGATCGGAGGTCGGGAGATGAAAAGAAGGTGGCGCCATGCAGACAGTCAAGTGCGTCGTCAATACGGAGAAGAGGGTACACGTTTTTTTTTTCGTAATTTTTTTGAGGTGCCGATAACTAGCGCAGAAACGCCAGGAGCCGCTTTTCTTCTTTACCAAGACCACTGGGAAGGCCCAAGGGCTCGACGATGGCTCGATGGTGTCTTTCGTTGGCATTTTGGCCACTTCCTTTTGAATCACTGCTCGTTCTGATGCGGACACGCGGCAAGGCCGACAGTGGATAAGCGCAGAGTCACCATTGTTAATTAGGTGCTTGACAATATTAGTCTGGCCCAAGGGATGACCACGGATACCAAAAATGTCACCGTGATCGAGTCCGAAACCTGACAGAGAGCATCGGCCTGATCAGGCGAAAGGTCTGATCCAATCATACTTCGAAAATGGCTTCGTCAGAACTGGGTAACCGTGAGACGTCTACCGATTCGGTAGACGCCTATACCCGAGTAGCCGACTGATTTAGTGCAGTCGTCTGCCGTGCAGCAGTGTCGCCGAAAAGGTCACGGATCGTCTCCTTGAAAGTGTCCCAGCTGGCAATGTCGACTTCGTGCGTCTCGAACCACAACAAACGCAGTAAATGTCACACTATATATTCTACGTAGAGGAAATTTGGTTTAGCCTTGTGAGCTTGACATTTCAGTAACGTGTTCGAATAACCTACAGGAACCACATCTGCAGTGGGCCATCAAGGTAAAGAAACACGTTGGCGAGCATGAGTGTCGGGCCCACCTATAGCCGGCGCTGATCTGTTCGTACACGTTAAGGCACTTGTCAACGTCAAAGCGTGCCCCGCCATGGTGGTCCAGTAGCTAAAGTACTCGGCTGCTGACCCACAGGTCGCGAGATTGAATCCCGGCTGCTGCGGCTGCATTTCCCATGCGGTCTGAAATGATGTAGGCCCGTGTGCTAAGATTTGGGTGCACGTTAAAGGACCCCAGGTGGTCGAAATTTCCGGAGCCCTCCACTACGGCGTCTCTCATAATCATATCGTGGTTTTGGGACGTTAAACCCCCCATATATATCTAACGTCAAAGCGATCTATATATCCTGGAAATATGCCAGGATCACGAGCAGTAGGTATACGACAACGTAGGTAGGAGTCACAGAAGAGGCGGGTGGTGAAGACGATGTTCCTTGAACCTGTGACATGGTTGGACCCGTGATGATACGTCCGAAGTGGAGCTTCGTGATGGGTACAGGGAAGAGCCAGCAGCTCCACCACAAATATGTCACGTAAAATGACTATTCGCGAGTGTAATAACACCGAACCACACAGAGCACAGCAAGCACGGCGGGCAAGTCAGTCCATTCTTTCGTTGTCATCTTCTGATCGCTGATATGTCAGCTACGTAGCACTGCACGAGTACTCCCAATGCACATCGAAACCGAACTTTCAATGAATTTGTTTTGATGGCCACTTCTTCATTTATAAACAACCCTGGCTCCTTACGAGCACCTGCTCTGTTTTCTTTGTTGTGCAGACTTCCGCCTAGATGGCTGTGCACGATTCAAGGCTTTGACAAAGAATCTCAGTCTTGTCAGCACATAAAAACCTACCACTCGTGCCGTGACATGTTCACGGTGCTCCTCGCATCCAATTAGTTTTGCTTTTTTCACCTTCAGAAGCTCTATCACATCCATGATGCTGTCATGGTGCACGCGGCGAGTGCTAAAACATTCAGTGAAAGTGTCTTCGAGAAAACCAATAAAGTTGGACAAGGTCGAAGATGGGTACAAAAGGCCCCCGTAATCACACTGTTGTGTGAACTGTGCGATAGCACTTTCAGATTCTCGTGAAGTCAACAAGTCGTTTTCGCAAGCAGAACAGTGCAACGGCACGATGCATTTCCTTGCAACATACCCGCTTATGTAGTGGACCAGTCTGCGGTCACTTCTGACAGACACGTATGCCTCATGGTCACTCTCATGTGTCACCACATCATCCAACATGTCGTTTTCATTGCTTTCAAAGTGAATTTCATCTAGTGCATGAGTGAAGCCGGAGGTCTGCGGTGGCGGTGACGGAGGCGAGCACAGTATAGGGGACAAAAGAGAGTCAAGTGTGCCAGGAGTCACATTGCCCTTGTCCGGCGAGCGCACAAGGTTGCAAAAGCTGATGCATGCCATTGTGTCGAGGAACTGCTGCGGCGTAG